GACTAAATACCTTTTAAATAATCTGTTGTGTGTTCTTTTTGATATAATTGCACTTTTAGTGGGCACTCATTACACATTTTTTTTCCAATTAAAAAAATAACTTCAGTTTATTAATTATATAATTATTTCAACACAGTTTTAAGAATTTGACATGTCAGATTTCAATATTGATCACTAACTGCCGGGCACTAATATAAGCACTTTATAGAACATAATGTAATTGTCACAATAGCACTATAGGTTAGGTGTCATCTTTTTGCAGTAAGGGAACTGAGGCATGGAGGATAAGTATGTGTGGAGCCGGGATTTGAACCCAGGCAACCTAGCTCTAGAATTTGCTCTTATCTGCTCTGCAGTTTTCTGTCTACTGTCTTATCATAAAAATGTCATTGGTGAAATTGGTATCATACTAAAGCCTGTTGAAAAATAATGCTACGAGTTTTAGACACTGTTTCCAATCTCACCACTTAAGTTAGAGGTTTGCACTGGTTCTTACTTGCCTGATCATAAAAATCATCTGAGACTCTTACTAACTAGATCTCTAGTCTCTGTTCTTAACAAGTAAATTCAAAGCTTTATGGGAAGAGCCCTGGGAATCTCTTTTCACAGTGGCCTAGATCAGTCCTCTGATCAGGCAAGTCCCTAACATCCTGGACTAGATTCAAGCTCTTAAAGCTAAAAGTATTTTTTGTTTCCCCCTTTCGTTTGCACATATTATGGATTGTTACCCCGTCTACACGATAGAAACTTCATCACAGGCACAGCGGTTCTGAATATGCATTAAAGCAAACTGTTCAGTATTAACTCCCTTTTCCCTTTGATTCCCATTTTTAAATGGGTAAATGAGGTGTACTTTGGTAATAGCCATTTGGCCTAATAATTGCATCAGAGGGGAGAGCCATGTAGCTTCTAGCGTTCTCCCCTGGGGCTGGGGCTTCTGAAACACCATTGTGTTAAACAGACGGTCGCTTTGTGAGAACACTGACTAACCAAAATCTAAACACTCAGACTCTGCATCCTCGTGGTTAACAGTTGCTTCCATGCTTGATTTTTCCATCTAAGAGTTTAAAATTCTTCAGATACTAATTTTATCATTGACTGAGACCTTGATTTTCCGCCATGTGGTTGGTTCAAATGAAAACTGTTCAGTGTCTCCCTGACATTCAGATACTCGCTGTTGTCCAACGGGAATGTAACCTGGAGTGACAGGTGGCAGGTATGTTTCAGGGGCTCACATGTCAGCTCACTTTGCCTGTGTGTGACTCTTTCGGTAAGATTAGTCAAGGTGCTTCTTGGTGTGCTTTAATTTGTACACCACCTCCCTCTTAGTGGCTAAGAACCATAAAGACTTAGAAAGTGTCATGCCACGTTAACTCATGCTTCATCTGATAGTTGGGATCTTACTTTGGACACTTGGTCAAGTTGCCCCCAGAATGTCTGAGTAGTGGCCAGTGTTGCCTTAACTTCAACATTATGTCATGTCACTGTGGCTTTGTTCCTTTATTTTCCTGTCCCCAGAAACCCCATCCCAAGGTTAAAATCTTGTAAGAACAGTTGTGTGTTCCCTAAATAATGCCCATACTAGCTTCATGGCATTCTCTCTGCTTAGAAGATCCTTTCCTCCCACCTCTCCTTGCTCACATTGCAACTGACAACTTCTTTGTGGAACTTTCTGTGATTTCCCATCCCCCATCAACTGAAGATGAGCTTTTCCTTCCTTCTCGCGTTCATGGCATACTTTTGTCTATTTGTCTTTTGCCCAATGTATTGATTTATGATTATATTGTAAATTATCGTTTGTCCTTATATTTGTCTTGAGTTTCCCTCTTCTGCCATTTCAAGTATATTTGTACTTCTATGCCCTTTGGAAAGTTGTTCTCTAAAAGTCCATCCCTCTTGTGGGTCCATTTTTGTAGATGGCTCTTGCGGTGGATTAGATTCTACTCTGTAACCTCAAATACACCAAGCCCTCACTCAGCCTCTTCCTTGTGGTTTTCTTCCAGGCTAGAGCTGTCTTTAATACTCCCTGCCTTTTGGTGTAGTCATCCAGACAGCTAAAAACAGCGAGGGTCCCGACACCAGATTGATCTTAAAAGTCAAAGAATTCCCCACTTCTCTAGCTCCTGAAATCATTTCTGACCCTGTTCCTGAAACGCATCTGTTAAAAACAGCATCTTCTCTCTTGTACGTTTTTATACTTCTTGCTGGTGATTTATTATTTTGCTTTTAACAAGTTGCGTTCTTAATTGCTGTAAGATAAATTTATTAAAACTCCTCAAAATGGAAACGAAGAAGAACCAACAGTGATTTTGTTTGAATCTTATTTTTTAGCTCTTCAATTCACTCACATGTTGTCTGCATATAAAATCAGAGTCTGTGAGTAACCAAAGCAGGGCCAGGTGACTGTTCACTCAAGTCTTAAATATTAGATTTTGATCTTCCCTAGGAAGCCTTTCCCCAAACGTTTTTATTCTCGATTTATTTGTCCCTACCCTTCAGTTGAATGACATCCTTTCTCTAGGACCTGCTCATTGCTGTCAACTCCACAGGAGTCTCTGTTTCTCTCAATTCTCCTTCTGTTTCAACTGCTACCTTTTGAAAATGAGAAGAAACAAAAACTTTTAAGGAAGAAACCCAAGGAAGGGCAAGGCAGGAAACCACAATTTGGTGATTCATTGCCAGATCGCATTAATTGAACTGACAGTTTTCTAAGATTCCAATTATCTCCCAGAATAAAAATTCTGGAGCTGTGATTCCAGAACCAGAATACTCATGCAGAGTGCTCTTAAAAACCCTAGCTCGAACCCTTCATTGTTTGCAGGAGAAAATATATACTAATTGCCTTTTTCTGGATGGAACTACCCAATGAGCCATAAATTATAAACTACAATCTACCAAAGTGGTCCGTAGCATTGGAGATAAAAGTTCATTTGCTGAGTAGAACGGAGTAGTACTGCACACAACCAGGGCTGTGTGTTTGAAAAAACAAAAGCTAACTGTGTTAACTGAGCTTTTAAGAATCCTCTTCAAAAGAGAAGTGGGGCGAGATGGGGGGCTAGGGGCGGGTGTTGTGGTGCAGGCAGGTAAAAAGACAGGGAAAGAGACCAGAAAGAAGAGAGTATGGTGTGAGGTCGTGAGCAGAGGCTTGAGAATTTGTTTTTACAACCCCCTAGCCCAACTATTTAAAAATTAGCTTTATGACATCAGACAAATCCAGCTTCTCTGAGCCCTAGTTTGCTCGTTCGTAAGATGGAGGTGATAGTGCCTCTTGCATGGGATTGTTTAAAAGGCCTACATGGTATAACGCGTCTGAAGTACCTATCCCGTGCCTCCTGTTTCTTCTTTTTTATTATTTATGTACTTTACTGTATTACTACTTTTGTTTGTTTTCTCACACAAGAGCATAGTGGAGTCTGCAAATCTTCTAAAGGTGTCTGCAAAGTTTCAGGTGTTATTTTCCTTCCTGTGAAAGAGACCTTACTCTGAAGCCCTCCTTGGAAAACTTGCTCAGTAAGCTCAGGGGCATCAGAGGTGAATTGTATGTGACACGGAAGGGGTAAAAAGGGAAGAGCAGGCACTGTGCAAGAGTCTACAATTATATTCCCTTTCTTTTTTGCCGTGATGGGACTTTTCACCTGCTCCCTCCCCTGACACATCTTTCCCACGCCTTCCACGCACAGCTGCCCCACCTTTGACCTGCACCCATAATCTGAAGCATTATTTGGTTTCTAAATAATTTAAGCACAACAATTGCCGGAGCCAAACTAAGAGTGAAATTCTTTGAATATGAGACTGAAAGTGTCTGCCTTACAACTGTAAAGTTGCTGTTGTTTTATATTTGTTAAAAATTAACAAGTTTACATGTATTTTCAGTCATCGTTTTTACCTTGGTTTAAATTTACATGGGTTCTGATAAAATAACAGTGCTTTAACCTTGTAACTTAGGAAATAGCAAGGAAATAGAAATTAAAAGAAATTAAATATGCTGTTATCATACTTTAAATTTCACTTAAGTAATGAGATAGTTATTGAGCACCTCCTATATGCCAGGCACTGTCCTAGACAGTGAATAAAACAGGCAAGAACTTTGCTTTCAAACAATACCCAGTTGCTAAACCCATTTCCTTTTCTTTAGGGCATTTTCATGATCTCTGAATTGTAGAGCTGAAAAGTTCCCTAGAGATCTTCTAGTTCAACCTCTTTCAAATGGAGAACCTGCGCCTCTATTTCATAGGAGAGTAGGAGAACTTAGCAGACAGTTGCAAGTAATGACAGCAAACCGTAGGGAAATCAGCACAAATCGAGAAATCACTGTATTGCTAGTATCATGAGGTTAGAAAAGGTATAAAGTACAACAGAAGTTCACTTGTGGTAGTATACATGGAAGATTCCACTATGTTATCCTCAAGTTAAAATCAAGTAATGTCTTTTTTTCTTTAGCACTGTAGACAAACCAATTTTGTGTCGTGTAGTGACTAAATTCGTAAATGGTTTTCTATGTATAGACCCAGAAGTTTTAGAAGCAGCTGTACAGACGATGCTGTTTAGGAGTGTCCCAGGTAGTACTGATAGAAATAACGTGCCTTCCTGCCTGAATAGAATCTGAGCAGTTCATATCTGGAATTTAGACCCCTCAGGTCAAGGGTGAGGACATTGACTCCCAAAGAGGTTAATTGACTTGCCCAAATGAGAGCCAAAATTAGCAACTTCTGTTCAAGCAAGGAGTCAGGGTTTTTATATTAAGGTCACTATATTTTGATAGTCCGATATCCATTTTTCATCTTTAAATGACCTAATACTGTCATCATCAGACTTGTTGAGCATTGGCCTTATTTTTTTAAATAAGAGAATATCTGAGACATTGACACAAGAAAATGATAAAGTCTTAGATATTAGAGCCAGGTCTCTTGGCATTTCTGTACTTCCGGTAGTATATCTCTTAATGCTAGAACTATCCAGTGTTCTGTTGCTGGTCACAAATCCTTTTTCCCCCACAATAGGTATTGTCTTCTGAGAACTCTGAAGCAGTGTCAGACATTGAGAGAAGCCCTCACCGCTGCGGGAACGGAGATTATATGGCACGGGCGCGCAAAAGAAGAGCCGGCGCATTACTGTAGCATTTGTGAGGTAAGCAACTTGTCCAGCTGCTCCATAAAGCCTCCCCCCCCCCCCACTTCTGGTTTCTCTTCAGTGACATTTATTTAAGATGTATGTATACCCTTCTGTTCTGCAGCTTCCTGAAATTGACATCGTATTCAGCCCTGTTATTTTATAAAGCCTCTTCCCTCCCTACTTTTGGTTTCTCTTCAGTGACTTTTATTTAAGATGTATTTATTGTATTTATACTCTTCTGTCCTGCAGCTTCCTGAAGTTGATATTATGTTCAGGCTTGTTCTTTTCTTGTTACGTAGCTATCATATTAAAATTTAATCTCATGACATACTGTTTCAGTAGCAATGAATTCTGAAAGTAATCTGCAGAGTCCTCTGACAGATATTTTAACAGCTGATAATCATGAAGAAGTTTAGTCTTGAGATTTTACACTGGGGATAATCCAGATGGAGGCAGAAGACAGTAAAGTGGATGTGGCTTGGTATACCTCCAGGCGGATCCGTGGTCCTGTAGTGTAATTCATAGGACGCTGGGCAGTCTTCCTGTGGCCAAGGCCTGCAAGAGAAGCAGAAACTAGTGCTAATGTAGTACCTGTTCTGAAGGTGCTTACATTCTACTCGGAGAAGACCAGTTATAAACAACTAATTGTACGTGAGACTACGGTGAATGTAAGCTTGGTCTTACTGACTTAGGATGATAACACTGAGGGGGAGAATGACCTGATTCTCCCTTCTAGTGTTGGTGTGAGAGTTCACAAAGGTATTAAAGTGTGAGTCTGTCCTTCAAGGATGAGTGAGTATGGCTTCACTGGGCTACAAAGTGACAAGAAGTAGAGGTAGAGTGAATGGTACCCTGAGGCACAGCTTGGGAAATGGAACGGCTTATTCAGAAAAGGGCCACGTCGTCCAGTGCGGCTGACACACAGGCAGTGCAGACGCTGCTCACAAGTCTAGGTGGTAGGAAGCTTTGCTACGTGTCTTGAATGATTTTAAGGAATTTGATCATTTATTCTGGGCTCACTGAGGCCGTCATAAGGTTTTGAGCAGACAGCAACGTTGGGTGTGGGTTTCAAAGAGACATGTGATTGGAGAGAATGGAGATAGGAAGCTCGATTACAGTGGTCTTAATTAAGAGTTGTTATCCTAAGGTCGAATATTAAAGAAGGGGAGGAATTGAAAAATATTTAGAGGGTCAAATACACAAGACAACTCCTTAAATGGCAGGAGTGAGGGACAGGTTGAAGAATGCTCACAAATTTTCTAGTTGTTTACTGATAGTAATGGTAAAATGGTGAATATTGAGATTTTAATTAACACACTGTTCAAAGAAGACATGAGGTCATGAAAGTATTCTGTCATTGAATAAATTCGAGGGTATGCCAAAGCCAAGGATATTAATGATCCATTTCAGACCTTGAAATTCTGTATTCTGACACTGACATTTATTTGAAATGATTGAATCCATCGGCTATTCTAATGTATAACCTGGCTAAAGTTAAATCTTTGGGAGATCATGGGTGCCTGGGTGGTTCAGTGAAGCATCCAACTCTTGACTTCGGATCAGGTCATGATCTCAGAGTCATGAGTTCGAGCCCCACATCAGACTCTGTGCTGGGCGTGGAGCCTGCTTAAGAGTCTCTGTCTTCCTCTCCCTCTGCTTCTCTCCCACTCGCTCACGTGTGCTCTCTTTCTTTGGTGGGGGGAGAAAAAGGGTAGTCTTTGGGAGATTAGATAGGTTCTAGTTAGGTGTGTTATACCTCAAAAAAAAATGAGTGTATAAGCTTTTCAGAATTTGAGGATGACTTCTATAGAACCCTAAGTTTTCTTTCTTATCCGCCCCGAACCTTAGCAAGCAGTTCATCCGTCTTTCTGTAAACGGCAGAAGTACTATTTCTAAAACCACGTCATACTCATGAGTACGCGTTTTGCTTGTACTCCTTTTCCGTCACATGAGGCTTATAGCTGAACACTTACTATCACTTACTCTTCAGTTTCCTCATCTGTAAGATAATCAGATTATATTGATTCAACAGTTAGGTTCTGAGGTTTGTCTAAGCACTGTGGTTTGTTCTAGAGGCACAAAAGTGAGTAAAGCGTAGTCTTCGTCTGAGGAGCTCATGTCTGTGGGAGAAGGACCACACAGATCACATGTCTGTGATGAGTACAGACAAGTAAATGGAAAATAACAACCACTCTCTTCTGGTTGTGTGCCACTGTTTTGGGTTTAAAACAAAAACAGGCTGACCTTGATCAGCTTTTAAATTAGGCTTTTGCCAGTGGTTGTAATGAGCGTGTCATTCCCTTAGGTCACTCCCTTAATATGCATTACTGCCCGTGTCTTCGGGTTTGGTGCCGAATAAACCCGGGTCTATTAAAGATTCTCAGACATAGCTTTGTTTGTCTTAGTTACTACTCATTTTTTTTCTTTTTAATTTTTCCTAATGTTTTATTTATTTTTGAGAGAGGAGGGGAGCGAGCGAGCAGGGGAGGGGCAGAGAGAGAGGGAGACACAGAATCCGAAGCGGGCTCCAGGCTCTGAGCTGTCAAACCGTGAGATCATGACCTGAGCCGAAGTCAGACGCTTAACCGACTGAGCCACCCAGGCGCCCCTTGGTACCTACTCTTAACCAGAGATCACTGTCCACAGTTCCATGTGAAGTAGAATTCTATAATTATAGCAAAACAGTACAATTCTATAATTCTATCAAACAGTACAATAAATAAATACCAAGATCTCCTTTGAATGCTTTTTCTCTTGCATAAAATAGGTGGAAGTTTTTGATCTGCTTTTTGTCACTAATGAGAGCAATTCTCGAAAGACCTACATAGTGCATTGCCAAGACTGTGCACGCAAAACAAGCGGAAACCTGGAAAATTTTGTGGTGCTAGAACAGTATAAAATGGAGGACCTGATGCAAGTCTATGACCAGTTTACATTAGTAAGTGAAATGAACATGTGAGTACGTACTTAGCTGGATAGGGAAGCAGCAATGTGCGCTCTGCGACCTGACGCGTGGGAGGTAATGAAATATTTAAATTTCCCTTTTGCCTGTTAGATATCGCATGAGGAAGTAGTCCTGTCGTCCCCCTCCTTCCCTTCCAAGTGTTTATTCCTATGAACTTGGCGTATTTCGTTTTCCCTATTCTTCCTGGGTGAGTCCAAGGCTAAATAATGTCACAGTAATGACATTTAAAAATCTTCCTGTGCTTTCGGAACACTGTCTTCACCTTTATGTCATTTGATTTCAGTTGATAAAATGTGTACATAGGTGATTAGTGTCCACAAAATGGAACCGTAAGTGTGGTCTTAAATAAATAGACTTTGGCTTTTAGAGCTAATTATATTTATTTAAAGTTTTGTCGTTACCAGAAATATTATTAACCTCATGGGAATATCTGATGGAGCTTAACTTCCTGGTATGTTACATAACCTTATGAAATTCAAGTACACTTACAGGTTTTACACAGTTTTTAATTTTAAAGAGCAGATGCTTAGGGGGAAGCTTTTTACTCTAGCACATCAATGGTTTCATGAATAGAAACACAGATATAATTTATGAATTGTTGACTTCCTCCAGTACTTTTCTCTTACGTATGTGATCAGAAACTGAATTATTGAAATGTAGCTCCTGTTTTCACTCAAATGGTCTTCAAGATTGCTTGAAGAAGAAGAAAATGACCTGGAATTAAGTTAAGCAAGATATATTATCTCGTTGAGATAGGTTCTGAGGCAAGTCACTGATGAAATTATAATTGATTTGTGAAATCATTTCCCACAAGCCTTTTTTTTTTTTTTTTTTTTGGAAGCAGTCTAAAAACAGGTCAGCCTCCTAAGAGGCGTTGAGTAATTGGCGAAGTACAGAAAAGTGTGGTTGCACCGAGTAGAGAAATGATCTCAGACCCTTAGGACAGTTGCCCAGGTGGGAGCCGGTAAGGGAGGTTGTTATTCTTTGACATGGTGTTGGCAGGCCCTTAAGCTCTCCGGGGAATCGTTACTTCCCCTCCCTTCAGAGGCAGATGTCACAGCCTTGGGCTAGGGAACGCCGTGTGTATACCAAAGTAACATGCCGTTTATTTTCAGGCTCCTCCATTACCATCCTCCTCATCTTGATATTGTTTCATGGACATTAAATGAGACCTTTTCTGCTGTTCAGGAAGTAACTCAGTTCTGCACCACTGGTTTTTGTAGCTATCTCATAAGGCTGCTGGCTGATAACTGTGTCTATGCAACCTTCCCAGTGCGGAGTGTCACCCAACTGGACAGGGGAGAGCACCGCTCCGACTCCAGGACTCTCCCGAAGCTGATCAGCTGTACTTCAGAGAAAATAATAAATTCCATGTTTTGTATATATCTGACGAAACTGGCAGAATCATACAGACTACTGACTTGAAAACCACCTCTTTTATATTTCTCTATTTCTGGGCTGATGAATTGGTTTTCATCTATCTTTTCCCCTTCAGAATTTTCCTTGGAAAAAAAATACTAGCCTAGCTGGTCATTTCTTTGTAAGGTAGTTAGCAATTTTAAGTCTTTCTTTGGTCTTTTTTTTAATGTGAAAGATTAGGTAAGAACTTTTTTACTGCTTTTATGTTTTTCTGTCTTGTTTTGAGACCATGACGGTTATTACACTTTTGGTTCCTAAAATAAAAATGTTTAAAAATGTAACAGCCAAGTCACAAAGATAATGGATTGCACATAGACTAAGGAATAAACTTCAGATTTGTGATTTTTGTTTCTAATCTTGATGTAAATTTACACTATTTATAAATACATATTTATTGCTTGAAAATATTTGTGAATGGAATGCTGTTATTTTTTCCAGATGTACCTGCCATTGAAATTTTAAGGAGTTCTGTAATTTCGAACACTACTCCTATTACATTTTCTATGTGTAAATAAAACTGCTTAGCATTGTACAGAAACTTTTATTAAAATTGTTTAATGTTTAAAGAGTTTTCTATTGTTTGAGTTTTAAAAGGACTTTATGTACAGTGCCCAGTTTCTGTTCATTTTTCAAATCTGATTATATATATTTTATATATACTTATGTATGTATATATAATATATATAGAAATCTGGATATATATGTATAAAGATTTAGAACTTAAATTTTTCTCATTTTAAGTTTCACATCTATGGTAGATTTTTGAGGTGTCTACTGTAAAGTATTGCTTACAAAAGTATGATTATTTTTAAAGAAATATATATGGTATGTATCTTCAAGACCTGAAATGTCAGACTGGTTTATTGTTAAGTTGCAAATTACTGCAGTGCCAGACCAATAAACACTTGCAGCTGAAACACAGCGTAATAGTAGACGACAAATAGTGCTTGAACATCAGATTTTACAGGGAATGTCACTTGGGCTTGGCATATCTTGTACATCACCAAGTAGAGTTTTATATGGAAAAAAAGATTCAGATAAGGGCTCTATTTTAGAATGCAAATAAATTGAGACTTATTTTGTAATGGTAGGCAGTTTTGAAATTTCCTGCTTTCCTGCTCGCATGACGTGATTGGGACCAGGAGAGAGCCTGTGACACCACATCACTGGTAAAAACATGGCAAGCTGGGTTACCATCAAGCGGGCACTTCTAATTCGCGATAACAGTATCCCGTTCTATCGTAATGGGACCTCGCATTTGGCACATACTCTTATTTTATCAGATTTTTCCAGGAGGCTTTAGTGAGAAAGCATAGGGAGTGCTGTAAATGAAGTTCTATTTATGACTAAAGAGAATTCATAATCCTATCCGGGCAAATGCCGTGCTGATTGCATTAATCAGGTATTCTTGTTCAGCTAGTTTTGGAGTACGTTGTCCTCCTGGAAACAATTCAAAGGCTTGGAAGCATGGAGATATTTTATTTAATTAGTAAATTTAGTAAATATTGAATATCTACCAGCAGCAGTCATCTCTTATTTATAATTTCAGAAGGAAGTAATTACAAATCTATTTTAGTTAAGGAGCAAGAGTGCTTGCCTAAGTGCTGCTTAGGATGTATAACCACTAATATTTTTGAAGTAACTCAAGGCAAACATTTCTGTAAATAAAAGTTGCAAGCCACTGTCCGGAAGCAGAGGTGGTAAGAGCTGAAGCTATGCCCAAATGCTACTTCCAACGGCTCTAGTTTATCTTGCTGGCGCGGTGTCTTATTTTCTCTGGTTTTTATCAAGATACTTTATTGCCGAGATGAATATAGGTCGTCTGACGTGTAAGAGTAACTTACTGTTGTTTCACCCGTACACACTCGGAAGTTCTGTGTCAAAAGTAACACTCGTTCAGCTTCATCCTTAGTCTTTGAATGGGTAGAGCATAGGAGAGAGAAACAGAATGTATGGTCAACTCTGAAGTATAAACTAGATAAAGTCTTGTGTAAACTGCTTGCTTTTCATCGGCTGAATATCCTTTGAGGTTTTTCAGATCTCAGAAGAAGTAGAATTTTTTTTCCTGTTACTACTCTATGTATAGGTAAATCCCGTTGAAAGCACACTTTATCCAGATGCCTTAATAACGAAACAAGTTTGTATCATAACGCACACACATTGTTTAGAGAAAGAAGCTAGTTACAAACGGTGTAAAAAAAAAAAAAGCAGACGTTGACCCAGGTGGTGGGAACTGAATCATATTCTCTCATCATCACCAGTTCTATAGGAAATCCCACCCCATCAGTAGAGCAGTTCGACTTGCTTTGCCGATTTATATGTTAAATCAAAAAACATACCCCAAAATTGGCTTCTTCGTTTTGAAATAAAACCTCAGGTTTTAAAAGTAGTAAATGAACAGAACCTTCACATTTTCAACTGAAGTTTAAGATCACACAGTACTGTGAATTTAACTTAAGTGTGTCTGCTTCTCAGAACCTGGTCATTAAGTCTTTATTGTGTGTATTTTCATTTAGTATTAATTTTAGCATCTCCTAAAACGCGAATCTCAGATGTGATCCCCGCCCTCTGCCCTTCACACACCCATCTATATGGGAGACTCACGTGATCTATCAGGCAAACCCTAGAAGAGGTGACCAGAAGGGCGGGTGATACTGGGGCCTGCATTTCAGTGGCGTTTACATCCTCACACCCTCCCGAGCCAAGAGGCTTCGGGCTAAAGAGCGGGAGGCGTGCTAACAGACAACTGGAAAGGGTAGGAAAGCTCCCAGATGTTGGAAAGCTGCCTCCGCCGAGAGAGGTGTTTACATTTTACCCTGTAGTTAATATGGAACCGTCCATGGGATTTAAAAGAACAGTGCTGAATTTGCTGTAGTCTTCCTACCTGCTTTAACACACTCCCTCCATCCTGTACGTTGCTGCCGGAGGGAGATCTCCAAAGCAGAGAAATTCAAGGAAGAGATGATTTGGATTTGAACTTTGGCTGTTGTGAGGTGGGAAGAACACGGATTGGGAAGATCAAAAGTAAATTCCACGGGACCCATTAGATGTCTTCAGGTGCATGGCGGGGGGGGGGAGGTGCTTCTAAGCAGAATAGGAAGTCACCAAAGGGTGGTTCTAAAGGCAGAAGACAATGAACTACTTGTAGGGCATCTAAGTAGTTGGAATTAGGAGAGGCCTGGACTGGAACCGTGTATCTGCTGTTCATTGAGGAGGTGCTTAGAACCAGAAGAGAGGACAAGATTGCCCAGGAACCGGTGAGGAGAGGTAGACCAGATACCTGCTATGGAATGTCAGCATGTAAGAGAACAGGAGATTGCAAAGGAGAAGAAAGCTAAACCAGCCCGGGTGGTGGTAGACAGACTGGCGCTTTTGAAAATTAACCACACCATCCTGCAAAGACGACAATGAAAGGGATTTCTTCGGGTCGGCACAAGATGGTGACGTTTGCCTGAGCACCTTCAGTGGAGCAAGACCTAATTGCCGTGGACAGAAAAAGGGACTGCATTTGGAGGTTGATGGAGTTGTCAGTTTGGTCTTTCCAGGAACCCTAGGTTTGAGATTCTATTGGTCTTTGGTGAACCAGCAGATCACCAATTTAAAATATTTTGTACCATTGTCCTGGAGTGCTTTGCATAGTAATAGTTTTGTATGTATATATACTGTGAAGTAATCCATGTGGTGTTTGGTTTTTGAAAGGAAGACATCCTTTTTTTAGTTGAACAGGGAAATAAGGATGGTATTTTTTTTAATCTTTTTTATGTTTATTTTGAGACCGTGTGAGCGAGGGAGGGGCAGAGAGAAGGAGAAAGAGAATCCCAGGCAGGCCCCGTGCCGACACCTCTCACTGACAGAGCTGACATCGGCTCCCCACCGACACAGGATTTGATCTCACGAACTGTGAGATCGTGACTTGAGCTGAAATCAAGAGGCAGATGTTTAAGCGACTGAGCCACCCAGGCGCCCCAAGGGTGGTATTTTTTTTAGTGTGGCCTACCGATACCCATCATCTACCAGCAACTTCTGTATTCTTTTTAATCCTCACAGTGACCCTCTGAGTTGGGTACTAGTGTATCCCCATCTTACAGATAAGTAAACTGAGAGGTCATATAACTTCCCCCGAGGTTCCAACTGTGGTAGTGATCGGACTCCAGAGAAGTGCGCACTATTCATTCTACCTCCCACTGCAGAGAAATAGGAATCATGGAATGCTTACTCTGTAGTCCTGCTTGAACGAAACTTTTCATTTTGAATATTTAGCAAGAGAAAGATGTCTTTAAATCTGATAACCTGTAATTGGGCCGACCGTTTGTAGTCCAGACCAGAATGCTTGTGAGATCAAAAAGGGGCACAATTACCAATTTATGGGGACAGGGCAGCAGCCATAAATCGGGCTCCCCTGGCAAGCTGGGATGTATGGCCTTGTGTTTGAGTTGGTCTTCAGAAGAAGCGTTTGGGAGTAGTTTCCCAACGTCATACTCCTACATTTTTTCACTCTCAGAATGGAAAGGAAGTGTGGATTTATGCTGCCATGGTGGTTGCAAAGGATGACGAATTATCAGGGAGAAGATCCAAGCAATGGATTTGAGGAAGTGGAAATGATGGAGGAAAGGGAAGGTCCTGTCACGTCTTAGTGGTGTCTACTGAGTCGTTCCAGTCCTAAAGTCAAATAATGGCACTTCACGAGACTGTGTGACAAGAAAATGTATAAATAGAATATTTTCGGTATAACGATTGGGCATTTTTTTTCTCCTAAACTCAGTCTGACTACCATTTACCAGTCTATTTTAAAGTGGGAATCTGATTTAACATATCCAAAACATGATTTTTAAGTGTGCCAACTTGGGGAAGAAAAAAGTAGAGTCCGTTTTCTCCGGATTGTAAAACCATTCAGTGCCATGTGGTTTGCTCCCAAGTGATTATACATGTCTTGATTTGAACAACAGAAAGATTCCTGATGAACGTAAGGACTGTCCTCAGGTATTTACATTGTATTCATGTGTGTGAGTATATGATGACCTCAATTAGATTAAAGGTGGGATTAACACAAAGTAATAATCGGAACCACACCTGCTTCCCCAAATGCTCAGATAAAACACCTGTTGAAGGTAAGGGGCGAGAAAGACGGAGAAAGCAAACACACGGATTTTGTAGGCTTATGTAGTTAATTGTAGCTAAGCATTCTGTAGCTCGCCACTTTGTGTAGAATGATACATTTGGCAGAGTGAAAGTAGATGGGAATGTTATCTTTAGAAAACTTGATATATGTGATTTAAATGTCATTATCTTTCATTAAATGTATTCGGATGCAAGTTTGGAGATGTGTGCACATGGAAAGGATTCTATGTCTAATAAATGGAAGTCAGTACTCAAATCTATGATCAACAAGATTTTCTGGGTTAAGGTACTGAAAATGGGTGGGGGGAGTTCAAAAAATCTGCAATTCTGATCCATCAAAAATTTCAGTACAAAGGAAAAACTAAGAGATGCCAAAGATTGGGGAAATACACGTGTATACAAAACTTGGGTCCGTTTTTTGTTCTTAAATTTATTTTGAGACAGAGAACTTGAGCAGGGAAGGGGTGGGGGTGGGGGCGGGGGCGTGGGGAGAGAGAATCTCAAGCAGGCTCCGCACCAGAGCCCGGCTCAGGGCTGGAACTCAGGATCTGAGACATCATGACCTGAGCCGGAAACAAGAGTCCGGACTGAGCCACCCAGGTACCCCAAACCTGGGTAGCTTTTAAATCTTGATCAGCCTACAAATTATCCTGCCATAAATCATTCTAAATCCGACGGGGCTTGTAGTCTATGCATTAGAATTCTTCTTTTTTTAAAAATTTATTTCCGAGAGAGAGAGAGAGAGACACAGCATGAGCAGGAGAAGGTCAGAGAGAGAGAGAGGGAGACACAGAATCTGAAGCA